TTCTTGCTTCTCAGTATCTGTCATCCATTTTGGTCCTTATTTGTGCTTTTGCTTTTTCACATAGGAGGAACAGTACATTGCTTAAACTAGTGTTTCTGATTTATTTTGCTTAAGAGTATGGTCTCAAAGTGCACCCATTTACCTAGAAATGTCTCAAGATTATCCTTCTTTATGGCAGAGTAGTACTCTACTATATATATAAAAAACCAGCACATCTGTAACCATTCATCAGTTGATGAACATTTGGACTGTTTCCAAGATTTAGCTCTTCCTAACTGAGCCATTATTAAACGTGGCTGTGCATACATCACTGTGGTACAACACTTTTTAACTCTTTTGAGAAGATTCCAAGAAGGGGAATAGCTGGGTCAAAAGAAACTTCTAGTTTTAATTTTTTGAGGAATTGCCATACTGATTTCCATATTGGTCGTATCAGTTGATACTCACACCAAGAGCTGAGAAAAGTTCCTTTTTCCCCACAGCCCTGCCAGCATTTTTTAAATTGATTTCTTGATGATAGCCAATCTTTCTGGAGAATGATGGAATCTCAGTGTTGTTTTAATTGCATTTCTTGAGTAACCAGTGATACTGAACATTTTTATATGTATTTGTTTGCTGTTTGTACTTTTTCATCCAAGAAATGTCTTATTTCAATTTTGGACCTGGCCTTTACGTTTGGGGAAGAGTCTGATTTTTCTTTATATGTTCTAGATATAATTGTTGAGGAATAACTTGCTAAAATTTTTTCCCATACTGTGGGTTGCTTCTTAATATGATGAGATCACACTTACTGATTCTTTATAATATTTCTTGTGCAATCAGGGTTTTGTTCATAAAGTATTTGTCTACACCCGTGTCTTGAATTTTACCTATTTTCTTTTTCAGCTGATTGTGTTTCATTTATTTGTTTATTTGTTTGTTTGTTTTATTGAGATGGGGTCTTGCTGTGTAATTCAGTCTGGCCTTAAACTCACTATGTAACCCAGACTAGCCAGTGATTGCCCTGCCTGTCTCTTGAATGCTGGAATTAGAGGTGTGTGCCACCACATTTGGTTTAGTATTTCTGTTTCAATATTTAGATTTTTGGCTTTTTTTTTTTGAACCAGGGATCGAACTCATGACCTTGTGCTTGCCAGACAGGCACTTGTGCCACTGAGCTATATCCTCTGTCCAATACTTAGATTTTTGATCCATTTCAATTTTAGTTTAGTATGTGGTGAAAGATAAGGATCTATTTTTAATCTTTGGGATATGGAAAGCCAGTTTTCCCAGTGGCATTTTTTAGAGGCTATCTTTATTCCAGTAAAGGTGTATAGCCTCTGTCAAAGATAAGATAGCTAAGTGTATTTGGAATTGTTTCTGCATCTTTGTTCCATTGATCCTTGGACCTAAATTTGGTTATTACATCTAGGAGTCTTTTGGTGAAGTGTTTGAGGTCTTTTATGTAAAGCATCATGTCATCTGCAAATAATAATTTAAATTTTTCCTTTTCCATTCTTATTTCTTTGATTTCTTTCTCTTGTCTATTGCTCTGGTTGTTTCCAGAAGCATACTGAACAGAAGTGGTGATAGCATCTTTGTCTTCTTACTGATTTTTAGAGTGAAAGCTGTCAGTTTTGACCATGATGTTGGCTGTTGGTTTGTCACAGATGATTTTATCAGATGGAGATAAAGACTATCTAGTCCTATTTTCTTTAGTATTTTTTTTATCATGAATGGGTGTCAAATGCTTTTTCTGCATCTATTGAGGTGATCATATGGTTTTTATCATTGGTTGATCATATTGATTCTGTTAATGTATATTATATTTATTTGTGTATATTGAACCATCCCTATATCCCTTGAATGAACTCAACTTGGTCATGGTATATAATCTTTTTTTTTTTTTGTCTTTTTTTCCTTTTTATCGGTACTGGGGATCGAACTCATGACTGCCTGCTTCCAAGGCAGGTGCTTATGCCACTGAACTAAATCCCCAGCCCCATGGTATATAATCTTAATGACTTGATGCATTTTGTTTGCCAGTATCTTACTGAGGATTTTTTACATCTGTGTTTGTTAAGGAGATTGGCCTGTAGTTTTCTTTTTTGGTTACATCCTTCTCTGGGTTTGGTATCTGGGTAATATTTGCATCCAGGAATGACTTTGGGAGTATTGCTTCCCTTTCAACTTCATTAAAGAATTTAACACGTAGTGGTATTAGATCCTCTCTAAATTCCTTATAGAATTCAGCAGTCAATCCATCAGGGTCTAGATTTTTTCATCATTGTTGTCGGTAGTTTTTAATTATAGTGGGCCCTTGACTTATAAGCTCAATTTGTTTGTGAAGGCTAGTTTTAACTCAAGTTGGTTGTCATTTGAGACTATTTTTCCCCATTAAAAATAAATGGAAATACCCATAATGCGCTGCAAACCTCCCAAACCACCCTTTAAACCTTTTCATAATAAAAAATGGGTTCTGTAATGTGCATAATTTACCAGAAAAACCAATAATTTTCCTAATGTGTTCACCAAAAAAGTTATAAAGTGTGCCTAGTTTACCAGAAACAATAGTTTCATGCTGTACTCACCATTCAGATTGACATCTTGGCTTGCAGGAGGGGATGATGAAATGGAAGGTGGTTATTGTTTGGAAGGAAAGTCCCCTTCCATAAAAAACATCAGGAATTGGGCTTTCTGGTGTTCTTTATATCCTTGGGAGAGTCTGTAGCCCACTAGAATCTGCTTCTGGCTCATTAGATCTCAACATTTTCAGAACTAAAAACTGTTCTGTAAAATGACAACATTGTCATTCTGTAAGTGAGAACAACAGTTGGCTTTTTGTCGTCTCAGTTTGCTCTCCAATTGTTTGTTTTTAGGATTTTCTTTATTTCAGAAGGAAAACTTAAGAAGTTTTTAGTATTAGGTACAAGGAACTCAACTGAGGGCCATAGGAATTCTCCAGCCAGTTCTTCCAAATCTCATGGGTGAGCAGGAGCATTGTCCATGATGAGGACAGCCTTGAATGGTAAGCCTTGTCTTCTAGATGTTTCTGAGCAGTAAGACAGAAAGCCTTCCTGATCCACTCAAGAATAAGTACTGTTGTTACTCAGACTTTTGTGTTAAATCACCACATGACCCCTATCCTATTCTTCATGACTTTCTGTTTTCTGACCATTCTAGGAGTCTCAGTGATGAACTAAGAGACCACTACCCCCATTGACACGTAACAGTAAGGCTAGCCTAGCCTTTGTAGGCTTGTGGCCTGACCTTTTCTTCTTTTCTTGGGCAATGTATATTCTCCTGAGCATTTTCTTCCAGAAAAGGCATTTTATCACAGATGAAAACTGAAAATTTATTTATTTATGTATTTTTTGGTAGTACTCGGGAGTGACCTCAGGGCCTTGTTCATGCAAGGCAAGCACTCTACCACTGAGGGTCATCTCTAGCCCCTCACAGTTGAAAATTTGATGAGAGAAAAAGGTATTTCTCTGTGTCATTGTCTTCAGGTGGTGTGTGTAGTTTTCAGCAGCTGTTTTATCAGTGTGTTTCTAGTAGTGTCTCTTTCAGAACTTACCTTTTCTGTTTCTGCTAGATAAAATGAGGTCGACAGGGCCCAGATCAGTGGTGGATGATCTCAGCACACTTGCAGGAGGATTAGGGCGGGGTGCTGAGTCTGTTGTGGGGTTTGGGTCTGAGTTACTCAGCCTACAACACACTGAGTATCTCTTGGCAGCCTAACCTTGGCTTTCTGACCTCAGATGCCTCCCAAGTTTGTGCCTTACTCAGTCACGGGGGCCCTGAGAGGAAGCCAACCCTCACTCTTCAGTCCTGGTTTCGGCTGAATGCTCCCTAAAATAGTGTCTGGCTAAGCAGACACTTGGACTAGAGTCCCTCTCCAGCAGCTGTGGCTCATAGCATCTACTGTTCTGTTCCACTGGTGTGTTTATCCATGGAGGCCTGTGTGCTCTCCTGCCACGGTGGCTTCTAGATTCTCCGACCTGTATCTGTCATGCTGTGAGCTGGGGGTCAGGGAGAAAGTGCAGTTTATGCCTCCTTTTTTTGAATTAATGTCTGTCTCTTCTCATTCCCTGTTGGCTCCAGTTCTCCCTCGAACTCTTGCTATGTCTCTTGGCTCTACCTGCCTCAGTTTCTTCCTCAAGTTGTTATTTCCAGTGGCGATTCTGAGTCTCACAGGCTAACACCCACTACTCGTTTATTGCTCCACCATCTTCCCAGAAGCCCTCTGAAAAATACATTTAAAATACCATTTAATTCTTTGCAGCATATTAGAAATATTTTATTTTGTGTTAAAGTCTGTAAAACTACTACGTGGATAGAGCAGTTGTAAATCTATTGTATGTATTTGAATTTGTTGAATTATGTAAGTGGTATCTGATAATTGGACTTGTTCAATTATAGAATAGAAAATTCTGCGATTGTGGAATTAAGAGAGTAAAAGGCAGGGGTAACTTACTAAGCTTATTTGTTTTTTCTATTTTGGTTTTGTTTTTTTTCTTTAGAGACAAGGTCAAATTATATATTCCAGGCTGACTTTGAACTTAACATGTAGCCCAGACTGGCCGTGAACTTGTGGATCCTTTGCCTCAGTTTCCCCAGAACTGGAATTACAGGCATGTGCTACCATGCCCTGCTAAAATTAAAGTTTTGTGTTCCTGCTGTTTTCTGTGGTAGTAGTGTTGGGGTAGGCTGGGTATATTTTACTGTTTAGATTTTTTACCGGAAAAATCAGAAAATGAAAAAGTACTGATAAGAACTTGTCCTGGCTGGAGATGTGACCTCAGGGTAGAATGTGTGCCTAGCATCCTTGGTGGGTTGGGTTTGATCTCCTGCACTGCCCCAGCCCATCCAGTTTGGAATCTTACACTTAAATGTTTGAAGAAAGATAGGCAAATATCGAAATATATTCTGTTGAAAAATAGAATGTATTCAGCAGTTGAACAAAGTCTTAATTCAGAAGAAGGATCATGTTTTAAGTCTCTTCTGCCTTTCTTCCTCAGGGCCTTACTGAGGACGGTCTGGATCTGCTGGCGTTCAGCTCTGCAGCTGACCTGGAGCTGCTGGGCTTGGAGAAGCTGAAGTGTGCGCTGCAGGCCCTGGGCCTGAAGTGTGGAGGCACGCTGCAGGAGCGCGCAGCCAGGCTCTTTTCCGTCAGGGGACTGGCCAGGGAGCAGATGAAGCCGGTGCTATTTGCCAAGCCTGTAAAAGGGAAGAAGAAATGAATTCTGTATAGATTCTTACTTGTAACCTGTCTCATATGGACTCATGACCAGTATTACCATTAATATTAAAGTCTCATATTTAATAACCCAATTCTAGCTGTCTTCTTTGTCATTTATAGAATTGATACGTGAAACCACAGGGCCTAAAGTCTTTGTAGGAAGCTTTTTGAGCATTGTTTTAAATATAGGGCTACTCAGAATTTATATGTTGTTACCTTGAGACAGAGTCTTACTATGTAGTACAGGCTGACCTTGAACTTGCTGTGTTCCCCAGTCTGGTACCTTTTTTTTCCTTTAATTTTAAAGAGAATAAAACCAAACAAAATAAAATAAAGCTAATCAGAACAAAACAATGAAAGTGATAATGAGATTTCAAAACAAGATAATAAGAAATCAACGTGGCTGCAATAATGTCTTATCTTCAAAATAGCTGTCCACACCCTCAAGCAAAAAAAAATCCGAATAAAACCAATGAAAATAAAGTAATGAAAGAATATTTAAACAGAATAAAAAAAAACAATAAAGCCAATCAAAAGAGTGAAAGTAATGCAAGATTTCAAAACAGGATAATAGGAAATCATCAATGGCTACCATAATGTCTTGTTATCTTCACAATTGCTGCCCATAACATCGAACGTAATAAAATCAAACAGAACAGAAATTGGATAAAAAAAAAAGAAAGAAATTGGATAAAACAAAACAATAAAATAGAGCAAAACAAAGCAGAACAGTACTGGATTACAAAAACGAGACAGAAAGAAAGCTCCCTATTTTTTCTTTCTTTTTTTTTTTATTTTTTGTCTTTTTCCTTTTTATGGGTACCAGGGATCCAACTCACGACTGCCTGCTTTCAAGGCAGGCACTTAAGCCGCTGAACTAAATCCCCAGCCCTGAAACCTCCCTATATTTGCTATAATGCATACTGTTATCCTCTTAATCTATGCTCAGACTACTGGCCTTAAGGCCTGCAATAATCAGTACAAGAATTAAGTTGTTTTGGTACCTCCCTTACTATCAACTCGGCCTGTCCTCCAAATTAGCCGGTTGCTTATAGGTTCGGGGGTGTTCTTGTTTCCCAGCCTGCATGCTGGTTGGCTCACAGCAAGGACCAATTGGCTTCTCCAGACCCCGCCTGGCTTTGTTCACTCACAGGTAGAGCAAAATGGCTTCCTGCTACTCCTCTTCAGCCGTGCATGGCTTCTGTTGGCTCGTGGAATGGGTGAATTGGCTACTAAACTTGCATCTGTCTTTCTGCCTCGTCCACCTGAATGCTGAGGTTCCAGGTGTATACCACCACATCTGGCTCTATTCAGGTTTTTATGCCCTGTCTTTTTTTTTGAGACAGGGTCTCGCTGGGCAGTTCAGGCTGGGCTTGAGCTCATGTAGCCCATGCTGCCATTGAACTCCTGCCTCAGCTTTCTGAGTGCTGGGATTATAGGTTAGTTCCACCACATCTGGCCGCCTCATTTTATGGGATTCAAGTAATCTATATTTATATCTATATCTATATCAATATATATAATATATAATGTATATATTATATATATATATATATTTTTTTTTTTTTTTTTTTTTTTTTTTTTTTGGTACCGGCAATTGAACTCATAACCTCATGCTTGCTAGGCAGGTACTTGTGCTGCTGAGCTAAACCACCGGCCCTCAGGTAAATAATATTTTTAGGAAATTGATCTGTGTGGTCCTGGTGGTTGGGTTTGTAGACATAAAGTGACTTGTAGCAGTACCTTCTTTTAATGTCTGTAGGAGCTATGGTAATAATTTCTTTTCCATTCTGATCATATGTCTCCTCTCCTCCCTGCCCCCACCGCCACACATACCATCTTCACCATCTCCCATGCCTTTTCTTGTAATAGTGGGGATTGACCCCCGGGTGTTAGTACTGAGCTACATTTATATGCCCTTCTACTTTGAAACTGGGTCTTTCTACACTGCTCACACTGGCTTGAATTTGTGATCCTCCTGTCTCTGTCTCCTGGGGTTCTACAGTTACTAGCTTTTACTACCACCCCCAAGTAAACTCTATAACTTTCTGAGCATCTGCTGCCTTATCTTGCTATTAAATGATTAAATGGGTCATATCTACTCTCAGAGTTGTGAAATAAATACTAATATGTAAGGGGTTGCTAAATTGTTGCTGATTAAATGAAACTTAGAATATTCTGAAACATATGTTGTTTAGTAGAAACAAATAGTTTCAGATTTCTTTGTCACTTTAAAAAATTACAGAACTGGCTGGGAATGTAGCTCAGTGGCACAATGCCTGCCTGGCATACAAGGTCCTGAGTTTGATACTTAGTACCCCCCCCAAAAAATAAAAAACAAAAGCAAGTGAAATTACTTACAGTAATATTATTATTAGTGTGTTGTTGTTTTGAGACAGAGTCTTGCTCTACAGTCCAGGCTGGCCTCGAACTTGCAGCAGTCTTCCTGCCTCAACCTGCCAAGTGCTAGGATTACATGTGTGCACCACCATGCTAATTTAACAGCAATACATTTAACTTATTTGGTATATTCAAAATCTCATCTATCTCAGGGCTCGGCATTTAGCTCAGCAGTGTAAGCGCCTGCCTTGCAAGCGCATGGTCGTGAGTTCGATCCCCGGTACCTCCTATGTCTCTGTCTTTGATATTAGGGGTTGAACACAGTATTTTGAAGGCAGGGTCTTGCTAAGTTGCCTTAAGTTGGACCAGAACTCAAAATCCTGCTTAATCCTTCCAGAGTGCTGGCTACTTTTGAATTCAGGCTCTCAGCTTACCTTAAATGAGTGTTCAGGCAGACGGGGTTTCCCAAAACTGCCCCTGGGAAGGTCCTGCAGGGCTTGTGGAGAGATGACTGCTGTTCTGACCATGCTGAAGATGTTATTGCCTGGCCCCTGGCACTGCAGCAGCCCCAACAGCTGCCAGTCCTAGCTAACCACACACCTGCTCTGACAGGCTGCAGCCAGACTTGGTCAGAGGTCAATGACCTTGGTCTGCATCCTCAGCCCCACTCTATTGGGCATTTGTACTAAGGTACTTCTCCAGCCCTTTTTATTTTATTTTACTCTTACTCTATTGTTTTTTAAATTTTTACTACTACATGTTTGGAGTACATAATGATTACATTCATTGTGGAGATTATTTTATTTTGTTTGAGACAGGGTCTCACTGTGGAGCCCAGCCTAACCTTGAATTTGAGATCATCCTGCCTTAGCCTCCTGAGTGCTGGGATTACAAGTATATACCAAAGTCTCACCCTTTTGTAAGACTTTCCCCCACTAGGCAGGGGTGGGGAGACCCTGAGAGACCTCACACAATTCTTACCAGTAACAGTCTTCTACTTTTGGACAGCACTTGACAATATAAGGTCTCTCTTATGAATGCTTTTTCATTGGAATGCTCCAAAGGTTTTTGAATGTGGGTTTGTAGCTTATGCAGCCAAGTAGCACTTCCTTCTGAAACAAATTACCTTGCAGGGCTGGGGATTTAGCTCAGCGGCATAAGCACCTGCCTTGAAAGCAGGCAGTCGTGAGTTCGATCTCCGGTACCGATAAAAAGGAAAAAGACCAAAAAAAAAAAAAAACCACAAATTACCTTGCGTTTTGGTGGTGTGGTTCAGTGGCAGAGTGTTCCCTTAGCATGTGCCAGACCCTGGGTTCCATCCTAGCACTGCAAAAATACAAGTACTGGCTGATTTAAACATCTCCCAAAGAAGGGGTGATTGCCCTCGTCCTGCTCTAGTGTAGAAACTAAGGCACAGAGCAGTACAAGATCACTGACTTATGCAGTGGCAGCAGAGCTCTGGCCTGGCCAGAGTGGTTCAGGAACTGAGAGCAGGCTCTGGGGCCTCTAGGAAACAGCCAACTGGAAGCCTGGGGGAGGCCTCTGCTGGGCACAGCAGCCCTGTGCCTGCTGGGAGTCTCAGGGTCACAGTCCCTGACACCCCCGACTTCTTTCTTTTAGGCTGTTCTTCCTTTCATGCCCCGAGCTGCAAAGGACACAGACAGTCTGGCCAGTGTCCTGAGGTTGCAAGGATAACACTGGCTTTGCAGTCCAGGCTGTGGCACAACCCTCCAGCAAAGAAAGAAGAGTAGAGCCAGGCCTGCCAGGATTGTGTCAGGGACTCACTGCCAGGCTACTGGCAACCCTAGAGCTTGGCTGATGGCAAGGCCACACCTGTCCCACCGTTGTGAAAGGGCCCATATCCCGAGGAATGGAGCTTTGGGTCTTCCCACTGGGAAGCTAATGAGAATCCACATTAACAGAGTGTTATCCAGGCCTACCACACTTATCACCCCGTTATGTTTACTAAACACTTTCTCCAGGATGGGACCTGCCACTGATGATGAACAGGTGCACAGTGGATGTTGATTGAGGAATGAGAGAATGTGGCTGAGATTAGCTGGCTCCCCAGAAATAGCCTTCTCTCTAGGATTCAGAGGTTGTTTGCCTATGAGATTAACGTGCTGAGGGTATAGCCTAAGGGGGTCTGGGTTCAAACTCCAGCAGGGCCAAATATTTCAGTGAGGCTGTATGACTTTGAACAACCTTAATCTGTGTTTGGCCTTGGTTTCTTTCTCAGAGGCTCCATCCTGATGGGGCAGGAGGTAGAAATCGAACGCATGTGATGGCAAGGAGCCCTCAGTATGTGGATACAGCACAGAGACTTTGGACAGGAAACTTGTGAGTTTCCAGCTTTGATTCTTTTGAGGAGAAGGCACACCATCTGGGGGTCTGTCCTTGAAAACCCTTTGGCTGGCAGAGGCTCTGCCCTTTGGTCAGGGCTTCAGCCCCCTGGAGGCAGGAGGCCTAGGTGCAAAGTCTGACTGAGGCTGACTTCAGCAAGTGTTGCATTGCCTCCAGCTTCTGACAGGTGAAGAAGAGACCACAGCACTGTGGCCACATCATAGGAAGTGAGCGAGCTCCCATCTCCTGTGATGTCCCTGTGGACGACGCCTCCTTTTGTGAATGTGCTCTCCCAAGCTTGTCTTTCCCATTTTCTGGCCGTGTCACTGGCCAAGCTTGGCCTTCTGCTCTCCCTGAGGATTGGATAGATGGGTGAGGTGCTATTTGTGTGCATGGGTGTGCATGTGTG